TGCAAGTAGGGAAAGTGCTTCATTTTGTAACATACAGGTACAATTTTAGTTATGTTTAAACGAAAATTGCACAGTCATAGTTGTGATTAAAGTTCATAATGTTGGGAATTTTGTCAATAGTTCAGTGATTTAATTGAGCATTGGGTTTTGGGACATTAAGTTTAAGAGGGAAGTGTGTATTAAAAACAGAAAAAAGGTAACTTAAAAGCTAATCACTCAGTCTCTCATATTTATGACAGAACTACTTTTATAACATTTTCAGGAAGCTGTTTATGTGACCCTTCAAGTCCAGCCAAAAGTGCCACCAGAATAAGGGCAAAAATTGTAGTTTTTAATATTGATGTACCCATAACAAAAGGATTTCCTGTGAGTAAATTGCACCTTCTACCAATACCGGGAGCATTTCATTCAAAATTTTGGCTAAAATTTAAAAAAACAAACATTATCCTTACGAAGTTCAGACAAAAGCCACCCTGGTCAATTTAAGGGGGTTTGGAGGTTGTCAGACATCCATTTTACAATGCGAAAAAGTTGTAATTTGAAGAAAAAAAGTTATTCAGCATCCATGAATCTGCCTAGGAGCTTAATGGGGAACTGGCTAACAAACACTCAAAAATTGTTGACCTTTACACGTACATTATATTTCTATGACTTCAACCAGTTTATTGAAATTGTCACCTTTTTGTATTTAGCTAATATCCTTACCATCTGCAGTGAAAAGGATGCGGTGAATTGTTAAATCTTGATAAATCTGCGCTTTAAAAACATTAATGTTTTGATTTATTTAGTTTTATTTTAATCTTTCACCTTCTAAAGCTCACAGGGGCTTAATTTTTGTTTGTGTTCAATTCTAGGTGGTTTTCCACTACCAGGCTATTAATGAGCCAGCTGTGATAAAACGTCTATTGAGTCAGTTACATAGGAGCTCTGGAGAAGTGATCAAGAAAAAGCCAAGGTGTGAACCCATGAGTAATGATAAAAAGCCTGAAAAATCTTTGTTTAAATTCAATTTTAAACTCATGTTTCATTTTTTAAAACAAAGCCATTGTATCTTTTATCTTTAATAATCTCTACAGCCTTTACCAAATTATTTGTGACTCAAATCAGTCATGGAAAATTCAGTCCCTTTTTACCCTATCTGTATTTCGTGTTTGTTGTGAGATTTTTACTAATCCAATTGTGGATGATTATATTTTATATGCATTACTGAAATAAAATTATTCCTAAGCACATAAAAAAATGTATTTTTTTTGTTTGTTACAGATGTTTGGTGAAAAACAGCAGTGCTGTAGTAGAGATAGAATTGGAGAGGCCAATGTGTATGGAACTGTACTCAGAGTTTAAAGACCTGGGAAGGTTCATGTTGAGAAGTGGTGGCCACACTATTGCTGCAGGACTTGTTGAGGAGGTGAGGATGCTGTTAAGAGAGACCTTGAGACTGAGAGTGGCTGCAGTTAAAACTTTTCACAAAGGATGCACATATGAGTTTAAAGAGAGTTGAAACCAGGGATTTGGAGCAGGCTTATATGACCGAACGCAATCCCAACTCCACTCCAACAAAATAAAAAGGGAGGAAGGGTGGTGGGGGGGGGG